CTCTCTCTCTCTATTTTTTTTTTTATAATTGAAAATTGATGGAAATCATAACTTTCGTAATATGGAAATAACAATTCTTATTCAATCTAGAAGAGTTTTAGTATTATCTGAAATTTTTTATTATTGATAAAATTCATTTTATCAAATTTATTTCGTTTCATTATTTTTAAGTTCAATTAATTTTGTTATTATATTGATCTAATTAATATATAGATATTATACACCAATAATGATGAAAGAAATTAATATTCATTAATTTATAAATAGAAAATTCTCTTCAGGATATAAATTGAATGAAATAAACTCTTATTAAAATTAGTATCATTTTAATAATGATAATATTCGAAAGAGAAATTATTTTAATATTTCTTAGTTTCTTGGTACTTAATAAAAATAAACTTATCCATTATTTGACTCTATTAAGAGAATATAAGGATGATTTTTCTGCGTGGAATTTTCATTTCCAATTTGTTTTTATATCTAAATTTAAATTTCTTAAATACGAGGAATTTAATTAATTATTCCTTACTTTTCATTTTTTATGATTTTAATATTTAAAAATTAATAAATAATAGTAATTAAATTATTTTCAGGATTTATTTGTAAATGTCTTTATTTCAATGAACTTATTTTTCCATTTTGAAATAATTATTTGCTCCCTTTTATTATTTATTACTTTTATTTCGAATAAAAACTTATTTCTATCACGAGAAATCGGATATGTCAATCCAGAATTAGAACGATTAACATTCTCTGTAACGCCATAATATAGTTGGTTTTATTTATTCTATAAATGTGAACGATATCGATTGGCACGTTTCATTTTTTAATATGGATTTTATATATTAGTAAACGAATATATATTGTTATATAAATATTATAATATTTAGAATAGAAAAAAATTTAGAGATATTAACATTAAGAATATTAAATTCTTAAATTCTTGAACAAATTTTTGTAATTACTAAAAATTAATTTTGTAGAAATGTATTTTATATCTTATATCTTAAATTAAAATTATTATTTTGATTACTTTAATTACGTAATTATTTCTTAAGCAATATATACGTATATACCCAGATTATATAGGTTATTATGAAAGTTTATGCATGTTTCAACATATTAAATATTATAGGATAATATTCTCTTTCTGATATTTTATCTATATTTGTATATCATTTTATACATTTTTTTCATTTTTTAAATTTTTCTATCTCTTTTACATGATAATTGTAAATATATGTGGATATCGGATTGAATAATACAATAAAACTTCATTTGTCTAAATTCGTCAGAGAACATGAACAGAACATGAATTTCATAGAATACAAGTTTGCTGCCTACGATTTTTCATTCAAATAATGACAAAAGGATTCAATTGATAGATCGATCTGTGTAGAAAATAAAGTTTTCGATAAATGATATTTGAATGAATGAAATTTCATTGTATAATTGATTTAATAATGCAAAAATATGTCGAAGTTTTTTATTTTCGTATAAAAATTACTATAATTAATATTATTTAAAATCAATCAAGAATATTGATAAATAAAAAACAATAAAACACAAAACCAAAAGTAACGAGAGAATATTTCAAATTGTTAATCTGAAATTTAGCCAAGAAGCAAAAGAATAAAAGAATATTCGAAACTTATGTACTTTACACTTGAAATGTAGCCAAAAAATAATAAAAAATATATTATGATCATTTCAAAAGGAAGAAAATCATTATTTACGAATAAAATGGCTACAAAATATTTGTTCGATTTACCAAGAATAAAATCTTTTTTTTTGAATCGACTTCAAGGCTATAATATTATTAGTGAGCCAAATCGAATTGACTTTGTCTTGTAGTTATTAAAAATGTGCAAATGTTTTTAGCAAAATATTTATTTCTTAAATATTTAGAAAATTGATTCTTATTAAATTAGAAACAATTGAAGTTAAATGAAATAAAATGAAGATAGAACAATATTTTTTTAACTCTGTCTCGCTTAACAATATATTTTATTTTTAATCATTTGTAATATTTTTAAATAAACATTATAGATTGATAGTTCTAGTATTAAATGAATATTTCTTTTTTCAATTCCTTTCATAATTGAATACATTTATCTATTACTTTTCTTGTCTATTATCTACTTGTCTATAATCATTCGTCTATAACATATTCACAAAACTAAATTTTTAAAATATTTTTCGCTGTAAAAATGAAAGTAGCGATCAAATATATAAAATTGAAATTTTGCTTGATTTTGGATCAATGATCCAATTGAGAAACAAAAATAACGATTTGAAAATCTTTTTGCAAAAGATCTTTTAACTAAAAAAAAAAAAAAAAAAAAAAAAAATAATAACAAGAAAAAAAGTAACGTCGTGGAATCTACTTCAATTCTCCCTCTTAACACATTTTTTTTTCTACGTTTACTTAGATATTTTTAGAAATATTCGTTACGTGCATCTCTTGGTGTAACTGTAACGTTGTTGAATATTTGATGAAATTTTTGATTAAGGTTTCATAGAGCAAGCATAGCCATTTTTTTATCTCGCTCGCATCATCACGAAATACCAGGAAATGACATTCGTGACATTCGCTCACATGACCAGCAGAAGACAGATGAAAACGATAATTTCGTGTTTGATCGTACCGTGTCTATCATCCAACTTAAGCTGCGGAGCTTAAAAGCCTTTTCCACTCTGGTTGTCGCGGTGCTGCACGCACACGATCAATACAAACTTCTTGCCTATCATCATTGTTTGTTTTCAGAACGAAATGGGAATCGTGTTGGATGGATTCATTGATCTATTTCTAAATTTATTTTGAATTTATCGTAGATTTGTTTGTTTCTTTTTTTCTTCTTCTGATTATTTTAATGAAATTTTAGAAATTTTAAATCTTTTTCAAAATGATAGATATGCTTTAAATTGTGAGTTGAAAAAAAAAAAAAGAAAGAGAAAATTGCTCTTGCAGCGAGAAATCGTGTTAGATTAATCGATCTGTTTTTAAATTGAAACGATATTGAGAATTTGTTGCTTTCTTTTATTATTCTAAAGGAATTTTAATTTTTAGAATTATGAAAATTTCGAAAATCAGAATACTTATTTCTTTCTTTTTCTTCTTCTTTAGGTATTGAAATTTTAAGAAATTTTATAATTATTTGAAAATGTTCCACTCAATTTGTGCAAACTTAAATTTTTGTATTTTGTTTCTTCTTCATTCAAACTATCATAATGAATTATTTATATAAATTATTCTTTAAATTTTCGAAAGTTTCTTGAATCTTGAAATTTTTTTCAAATTATAAGTTGTTTAGATAAAAATTTGAATAATAATCGATTGATAAATCGTCATTTTAAATTTTTTTTAAAATTTCATGTGTTTTTACTTGTACGACACTTTTTCAGAAGTTAGAAAAAGACTATTGCAAAAGAATTTATAATGGAAATTTCTAAAAATTTTATCAATTGAAAAACATATTTTTTTTAATATTAAAAAAAAAAAAAAAGAAAACAAACAAATAATCAAATAAGAAACAGGAAAATAATTAGACCACAATGAAGTTTATTTGATGTATGAAATAATAAATCTATTTTTTACTAATTTATTAATAACAAAGTAATATCAAATAATATATGCTTATGTTATAAATTAATATACAATATTTAAATATTTATATATTATTATATTTATTATATAATTTTTATATATTAATTAATTAATCTGTTTAATACCATTTTTATTATAACTACAAAAATTTGTAGAAATGAAACATGGACTATGACAAAGGAAATATTTCACTAAAATATTTAAAAGTACTTTTTTATAATCACATATACATATACAAATTTATTGAAGAAGAAGTATTTTTTTCAATGTAGATAATTAAAGTAGATATCAATAAATCATATCAGCTTCTCTGTATTTAATTATGCATAGATATCTTTATCACATCATCATCTTCAATATTTTCCATGATTGTACAAGAATTTTATTTTTCATCATAAGTAAACAAATTTTAAACATTAATTCCTTATGCTTGTTTGAAGAAATAAGATAACAATTCTAATTGTTTAAACTTCTGTTTAATTCATTTAAAATCCATTTCTTTATTTTCTTTACTTTTCCTGTTAGAATTAATCTTATTTGGTACTTTATTTCTTTTGTTAATTGCTGTGGATTTATTTCAGTAATACTTCTTGAAATATTATCATTGAGAAAATTTTTCAATTTTTCTCTCGATAAACTTTTTAAAAATGGAAAAAGAACATATCTTGAATTTTAAAAATTATAACATTGAACAATTTTTCAATATATATATAATAATTTTTATTGTAGAATAAGATATCAAAAATTTCTAAGTAAAAATATTTTTCAGTTTTGAAGTTAACCTAATAAACTTTTTGTCAACAAGAATCATAATTTCAAGAATAGGTCACACAAAATTAACTCTCTTGCATTTCTAGAAGATAAATGACTTCATTATGTAAATTAATTTATGTATGCTACATAAAAATTATCATATATCATCCTATACATTAACTGTTATTTAGATCATACTCTAATGGTGGTTCTTCCTTTTAAAAAACTAAAAACAGATATTATAAATGCTACAATTCTTGAAAAAAATCAATCTCTTTTAAAAATTACACATTCAATCAATCATTTAAATATGAGTTTTAATAAGACATTAAAAATCAATATAAAATACAAATAAAAAATTAATTAAAAAAAAGAAATAAAGATTCTTAATAATTCTTAATAATATTATCATTATCATTAATTTTTTTTTTTACATCAATCTTTTTTCATAAAATCTTAAATTAAAATTGCTACGATTAAAGTTTGAATTGATCAACAAATTTTTAAATGTTTCATAAATTACTTAAAAATTTGTATTTTCATTGACTTTATAAATTTATTTTCTGTAATTTAATTTTTATTTTCAATAAATAACGCTTCTTATTATATAAAAATAATTTTTGAATTTTTCAATATCACGATCATCACTTTACACATTTATTTTAAAACAAAAATAATTTATAATATATAAGAGAAGAAGAAAAAAATGTTAAAAAATATTAAAGAAAAAAAAAAAAAAAGAAATTAAAATTTTAGAACCATCGCAAAAATTAATTTTACAGAAATGAAAAATTTTGCTTACAAAAATCTGAAACATAACAAAAGTAAATTTTTTCCACTAAGAGATAATCGTACAATTTTTATAATGGCACGAATAAATTGAATAAATTAGATCCAAGATGAAATTTTTGCCAAATTTTCGCATAAAACAATAATTTTGCATCGAATTTTCTCTCGGTCGTGGATATCAATGGACGAACCAGCCTAGTTTTGAGCACGGGTTGTTGTGTGCACTCGAGACAAAGATATCGTGAATCGTGTACGTACACGGCCTATATGTATTGCATTCACACAAACGCACGCACACATACACGATCAGTTGTTTATACGGTGCATTCTCATTGTTTCTAGGACAATGCAACAAGTGATGCGACGACAAGCAATGTCAGTTTCATCGAAGAAAATGCGACAGAGGTGCACATTGACTGGGGAATGGTAAAGTTTGTATGTGCTCCACTTTTCACAATTCAATCATGCATCACATACACACGATTCCAGGAATTCCAGTATTCCAGATTTTCGAATATTTCCTATCGAAATCTTTGGCGATGCCTTGCATTGTTCCTTTTTTTTTTTTTCATTCCTTTTTTGGTTTTCTTTTTTTTTTGTTTTCGATTGTAACGATATTCATTTTAAAAATATAACTGAAACGTTTGCAGTAGAAAAAAACGATTTTTGATTTTTTCTTTTAAAAAAAGAAATGATTAAAAATATAAAATTTTTATAAAAATAAATAAATAAAAGCAACTGTGGAAGATCATTAAAAATTATTTTTTATAATTTTAAGGGATTCACAATTTTGGAAATTTATAGTATCAAAAAAAAAAATAAATCTACTATTATTTTTTTTTATTACATTTTCAATCATTATAAAAATATTTTTTAAAATCTTTTCTATCTTTCAAACATTCAGTTATCAATCGGTTTAATTTGGAATTAATTTAAATTTAATTTGGAATACTTAATAATGATTTAATATTAATATTCATTAATTATGAAATATTTTTGAACTTTTAGCTAATTTCATCCATATATTATATATATTTTTCAGATTTTTCATGGCATTATAGTGTCAGCGTCGCAAGTAGTAGCAGTCGAAAGTGCTATTACAGGTTGCGTCGTTTATTTGGCTATTCTACTTTTTTCGCCAAAGGCAGCTAGTTTCGCTTTTTTGGGGGCATTTATCGGCTCATTGACGGGTATTATATTATTTTTATAGATCTTTACTTTAACGAGTAATAATATTTAAATTACATACGTTAGGATAGAATAAAAAAATAAAAAATATATATGATTATTTTCTAATAATGTAGAAAACTTGCATTTAATTTTTCAAATTTTGTGCACAAATGATAGTTTCTCTAAAAATTATTCACAGTGTAAAAGTTTTAAAATTTTAGATTCTTGTTTTTTTTAAACTTTTTATTTCTTATTTTTATTGCATTATAAAATGGATATATAATGATATTTACAAAATTATTTTTATAATTAGTGAAAAACATTATTTGCTATAAAGAAAAATTAAGCTATAATCAAAAATGAATAAGATTATAATGAAAATAATAATTTTCAAGGTTTTTTTTGTAATAATTTCACAAAAACTTTTCAAATCAAATTCAGATTTCTAATTTTTGTTCATTGTTAGAATGACAAAATAAAAGAAGAATTTTTCCTCTTAATATATATACATATCTTTTTCCTTTTTTTTTTTTCAGCTTTAATACTCGGAGCACCGATTAATGAAATATATATGGGTTTTTGGGGTTTCAACACTTTATTGACAGGAATATCATTAGGTGGATTCTTTTATACACTTAATGGACAAACGGCTGTAGCCACGATTGTAGCAATCATCTACACTGTGATAGTACAATATTCTATATTGTTTTTGTTTAAAAATGTAATTAAAATTTATTTTATTATTTTATTTTTGATAAATTTATTAAAAACACAATATTTCTATATTCATTGTTGACACGTATATTTTTAAGTAGCTATTCTATGGTAAAAAGAACCATGATGTGAATAATCAAATAATTTTATGCGCAGTTGAAATTGCCAATATTGTCACTGCCATTTATTCTGGTGAGTTCATTGTTTCTGAAATTAAGAAACAATTCAGGAAGCAAAACTTCGTTACAATCACTGTCTATTTCATCTTCGAAGAAACAAAGTCAGGATTATCTTGCCAACCAACAATTCCATCTCATTCCACAAGTATGTATATGTTTCATTTTTTTCCTTTTTTCTTATTTTATTATTATGACTATTTAATAATATTTTTTCTTAAGATTAGCAATTCATTTTTGAGTTTTATTCTTGAGCTTTGGAATATGTTTTATTTGAAATTGATTTGTAACAAGGGATGAGCATTTGTACTTAATACATTATTTTTTTAATATCAAGTTTCTATTTGCAATAACATAAATATCATTGTTCTGGAATTGTTTAACCTAATCCATACTTATCAGAATAAATATTACTATAATTTTGCCGTGTAATTTTTTAAAATTCAAAATTTTATATAAAAATAGATTCCTTTCTATTATGTAAACTTGTAGAATTTTTATGATTAGAAAAAAAAACATACTATTTATTATGTATTAAATTTAATATAACTTTTCTAAAGACACATATATCATATAGTAAATAATATTTATAAAATTAAATCGTTCGCATTAAATTAAGGAATTTTTAGTTCATACTTAAAAATTTTTTAAGAAAAAACTTCATTTTCATTTCATTAATTTTTCAATATTCGATATTAAAACATCTTCAATCAATTTTCAACGATAATTTATAACGTTAAAACTGTGAAATATAGAATTTCAATTTTTCGCGTATAACTTTAATCACAATGCAATTAATCATATAATTGAAGAAGTTTGATATGTGTTATGATTAGAGAACTTATTGTAATAGGAACTCTGGAAATCGATTTCTGTCCTAGTCGAGGTTAACCTGCTTTTATATGATATCTAGGAATGATGTATGGTGGATATGGTTTCATTGTACCAAAAGCTTATCGCTGAAAGTATTCAGTGACACGTTTTATCTTATTTTATAAAAAGAGAAAGAGTAATCCGCTTTAATATAAAAGATTATAATACATACGAACAAAATTAATTAATTTTACAATTTGTACAATTTGTACTGAGAGTTGAAGAAAGATAGATTTTTGATTTGAAATCGTACAAATGAGCAATTTGTTGAAATACAAGAAAATAATAATTCGAATAAAGCAATTAAAATTTGCATTATTAAAATGAGACGAGATAAATTGCTTATAATTTAATAAATAAGATTAAGAAATTTTTAAGAATTTTTATTTTAGGCTTTAGAATCAACTCCGAAAATATCTTATGAATATATTTTAATAAAAAAAGAATTCTATTTTCAATATTTAAAAAATAAGAAATAAAAATAATAATATAGTCATTTTCAAGTTTAAATTAAAATAAATCAAATTAGAGTATAAATATCAAATATTTAATAATATCTTTAAATAATTTTCTGAAATTATGAAAATACTTCATAATTCTGTAGAATTTATTTTAATTGAATTCTCTCCTCAAAAAGGAATAAAGAATATGTTCTTTTTTTCTTAAGTTTTAATTCATCGTTCCTCTTTTTTTTTCTTACAGGTAGATGATCCAGAAAATGATAGTTATAAAGATAAAAAAAATACGTCCACACTTGACGTTTAATAATAAGATAAAAAAATAATGCAATATTTGCATACATGTATATATTTACATGAATAAAATAATTTTTTTTTTATAAAATCTTTTTTTAAAACATGCAATTTCAATATAAAATTTATAAATTTTATAATATAAAATTATAATTTGAAAATTCTTTAATTTTTTTTAAAAAAGAAATTAAAGTAATGGAAAAATAAAAAGATTTTCTTTATAACGTGCATTTTTTTGAATTTATTTATTAACAATTATAGTAGTTTTGTTATATGTTAGTAAATTGTTATATGATTACAATTAATTATTATAGTACATTATATTAATTCCTTCTTCAAAGTTATGAATTTTAAAGCTATTTTCCAAATCATGATATTGCAATTAATTTGCAACATCTTGAAATATAAAGTCAAATTAGAAATATATCCCACGTTTCACGTCACAAAACCAAGCATCCCTTCCCTCATAAAAATATAAATAGGATTTTACAACAATTTAACGGTCAGTATTCCAGAATCCACAAGTCGATCAATAAAATTACTTGGCTGCTTTTTTTAGTTTACGATGTTCAGGCTCCACGTCATAAATTTGACGTTTTTCATTTGTTCTGAATAACGACCATTTCACTACTTCTTTTATTGCATTCTCTGGTTATTGTATACCGGATACTCAGAGCTTTATTTTTTTTTTCTTCAAAATGTTATTCTGAAAAACTCTGAAAAAAATGTTAATGAATTTTTTTCTTTTCTTTTATTCAAAATGAATTATTAAAGAAAAAACAATTTGTATAGAAATATGAATAAAGAAAAAGATGTTATGCAGTAAAAATAAATTTGGCAAATTTTTGTTTTTCTGTATGATTTTTCATTATATGCTGCGCGAATATAAATTTATTTTCAACTGATGAAAATTATAAATACTTGTACGAAAAAATCTATTTTATAAAAATTATTCTGCTTAATCCAATTTTAATCCAAACAAGGAAGTGAATCTACATAAATGGAGCAATAAAATGGAGCAATATAGATAATATTTTTTTTTTTATATCAAGTTATATTTATATTTGCATTTTTCATCATTTTATTTTCTGTATTTATTATATAAAAATTTTATATCTGTAACTTCAAAGATTTTTAATACTGCACATGTTAATTAACATTCTATACTTGAACAAATATTTCTTTTCAAAAATATAAATCTTCTCACAGAGATTGCGGTAAAATTATTTATTCCATTCCATAACGAAAAATTATTTAATTTTTACTTTTCGTTTTACTAATTTCATAATTAATTATCAAATTTAAAAGTAAGATTTTTTTTATCCGTCTATTATTACTATATAATACTGTTTAACTTATCAAATTAATCTCTAAAATTACTGCAATTAAAATACAATTAAAAATATTATTCATTTGACTTTAATACGAAATTTTATGTTATCTCAGATATTGAATGAAATAATTCTATTATTTCATGAAAAAATTAAACAACAGGATGACAAGGATTAATATATTTTATTTATTGTTTTGATATTTTAATATAATCTCAGAAAGAAAAGACAACATATGATATATGACATTCAATGCTGTCCACAAAGGTGATACAACTTTTTCCACTCAATTTCCGTTCATAAACAACTCTGAGATCGAACGAATCTCACTCCTCATTTCAACTTTTCAACGAACAATACTTTTCTATATAATTGTCTTGTATCTCTAATGTGTAGATATCTTTTTCTATTTTGTATTTTTGTAGAAAATGTATTTTCAAATTTGCATAAATAGACTGTTTGTGTATTTAAGTGAAACGTATAAATGTACATACAAGTTCCATTTAAAAATTAATTATCAGAAATGTATTACTGTTAAAAAATTAAAAATTGAGAATAGAAATCGACGAAAAATTTATTAAAAGTGAAAAAAATAATGATAGACCTAACATGAAATGATCTAAATTATGATTCTCTTCTAAAGCATTTCTTTCTCATAAATAATTAAACAATTTAATCAAAATTTTATTAAATTCATCCGACTGTAAAATATTTAATATTTTTCTATGATTATTTAATATTTCTCGACAAATTTTAATAACGAATTAATAATAAAGTAATATTAATATCATGAAAATATGTATTTAACCGTATAAATCTTTAAAAATATGTACATATTTATTACACTTTTCATATTTACAGAATAATGTTTCTTTCCTTTTAATGTATCACGCAAGTGAAGATATCTATTTATTCACGCAAGATCGATTTTCCAAAGAACTTGGAAAATATTGGAAAAGTATGCACGATATTGCGCATTGAGAGCTCTTGATCTGTTAGCTATATTAAAATTTGTGAAATAGACATCAAACTTTCCTCCATTTGTCATGTCTTTTCTCTTTTAGGTTTAATGCACGTTTATCCCTTCAAGAAAATATCTATACATAAATATTGGAAATTTTTAATAGTTATAAAATTTTAAATAGTTCTCTTTTATTGTTCTCTTTTGTTACACAATATTTTATAATATATCTAATACATGTATATTTTACAGCAACTTTTTAATATGATATTTGATAAATATAAATTTTTCATCATGAAATTTTGACTCTCTATTTTAATTATTTTCACCTGTTACATATTATTTTATAATAAAATACATAATTGATCTATTATATTTCTATATTTCGATTGAATTTTATACAATAATTTAAAAAAACATGTTCTTTCGTTTTTATTGATCCAACTCCTATATCTGTCCACAAAAAACATTTTAAAACAGTACATATAAAGAGTGATTTTATACTATTATAAATAAATAAGTTTTTTTCTTTGAAATATCATTTTTTCTGAATTTATCTCTTTGAATAAAAAAGAGTTTTCGCATAAAGGAATTTAATTTTTAATGATATAGAGATTGGAAATGTTATTAATTTTAATTTCTTACTTTTACTTTATTAATCATTTATACCGTGAGTTGCTTCAAACAAGTTTCTGAAAATTAATTTCACGATAAAAAGATTCGTGTGTGTAGTTTGATAAAACTGTCTGAACAATCCTCTTCGAATTACCATTATTTCACAGAGTGCATACGCTGCAAAGTGAAATTTTAAAATAAAAAATTAAAATCTATTTTTAAAGAAGAAGAACGTCAAAGTAGAAAGAATATTTTTTTAATTCAAAATGATCTAAATAAATTGAAACAGTAATTTTACTGTTGTTTTAAATAGATTCAACAAAACATGTTTGTTGAACAGAAACGTTATATTCTATGTTGCGAAATCAAGTTTAAAAAAAAAAAAAAAAATTAAAATTTACGTTAATCATAAAATGAGCATTGATTTAAAAAAATTTAACGATCAATGTGATGTTAATAAAAATGGTAGAAAATTTTCTATGTTTAGAAAATAAAATCCTTTAACTTCTACTATACATTGCCAGGATTTTAGGTGTCAAATTATGAGTTAAATGCTAAAAAAAGATTTTTTTTTTTTTCCTCTAATTAGCCTGCATTCGTCGGCATGAGGCAACAGGTAGGAATCCTATGAAGTTTTCGTGTTTAACTTGCAAAAGTCTACAACAACTCTCCATTTCTAATTCTCGACAATACCTCGAATTCGGCATCTAAAAATGAAAATGAAAAATGAAAATTATATAGAGAATGGTTTAATCCATTTTTCTACTCGAATATAAAATGTAAATTATCGTAAATGATAAAAATTATTTTCTTTTCAATAAGGTATACATATAAATTTTATAAAATTTTCTATTTGTGTTAAATTTTCAAAATAATTGAAATATTTAATGACTCGTAATAACTTTAATATTTTTCCTTTGTAATATATTTTCGAGATATATTAAATAATATACATAATTTTTATATTTTATCTCGGCAATACACACATGTTGTTAAAAAAAATTGAAAATTTTCATGTTTTATTATTAACAAACACTCTGATATTTGAATATTCAAATGCAAATGAGGAATCGTGTAATTGCGTATCAAGACCTTAATATTGTCCTCTATATTTTTTTCTGATAAGAAAAGTATTATTTATGAGCATGACCTCGTTCTTGGAATCAAATTATTTTCGCAATGATTTTCCTGATAAATTTCTATCTAAATAAACCCATAAACCGAATAAATTTGTATTTCTATAATGTCACATTCTAAAGAATATAATTTCTGATTGAACAATATTAACATATTTCATGCCGTGGATTGGATATTGACGGACCATCATAGAATTCGAACTTCATTGAATAAAAATTTAATTTGAAAGAATATTTAAAGTTTAAATATTACAGTTAATCATATTATTATAATTTAATAAATATAAAAAAAATAGATTTCCTAGAAAAAATAAATAATACTTTTTGATCAATCAAATAAAAAAAAAAAATCGGACACAATAAATATATAAAAAAGACAAAAAGAAATTCCACAAAATAACAGTAAATTTATGGAAATTTTTTGATTTCTTTATTTTGAAAAATATTCTAATAAAACTAGCTAATATTACCCATATGCTACGTCGTGAACTTTGTAGAATTGTAGAGCAGGGTGAAAGATATTCATGTAAGTATAATTCTAAAGCAACGATAAGTTAAAGTGAAAAATGGAGATACTTTTCACGTTTTATCCCTCCGGTCCTATTTTCGAAGTTGTTAAAAAGAACAAACAATTTTTTGAAGTTTGAATGCTCGTTAATATCAATGTTATTAAATTTCATTTAAAAAAATGGAAATTCTCTTGATCTTTTTACTGAAATATTTTGAATGTACAATTTATTAAATTATTTTTAAGTTTGGATGAACATTATATTATTATGTAAATTTTAATTGATATAAAAATCATTTTCCAAGAAGAATGTTTTTCAAAATAATAGATATTTTTTCATGTAATATAAAAATTGCTAAATTGAGATTACAAATAATAATTCTTTATTTAAATTACCTTTATTAGAATGATAATAATTATCATTTTATTTTTGTACAGTATTTTCATAAATGAAATAAAATAATCTAGAAGTTTATTGCTTATATATTTTAACTTTACTGTTAATAAAGTAGATAATTAATAAATTATGAAGTATTATAAAAAATTGTAATGAACCAGATTAATGAACAGTAATTTTATAAGATGTATTTTTAAAATTAAAATATTATTCCTTAAAGAAAGAATGTTTTATTGTTATACAATAATAATACAAGTTTAATACAATAGTTTATTGTATTAAAGACAATAAAATATTTATAATTATGATTATTTTATGATATTTTATATAATACTTTATAACATTTATATTGCAATTGTTTGTAATGATTTTATAATGAAAATTTTCAACACTTTATTTATTTTGCTATATCTATATGGTATACAATAAATGCTTATGGTTTATCACAGCAGATATCGAAAGAAAAATTATTAAAGATTTACAACTTTGGTATTAATTTATATTTTATGATAAAAAATTTATATTTATTTTATTCTATCAAAAATGCATTTTTATGGAAAATTTTAAAGGAAAAAAAATTACAAATTACAATATTTCATTATAATGTAATAATATTTTTTATTCATGAATTATGTATTTTGCAATATTAAAAAATACCTTGAAATATTTTGAATCATAATAATTTTCAAAGATTTGGAAAAATATTTCCTCGAATTGATCTTGTTGAAAAGATTTGTTCCAATAAAACTGTAACATTGTTTCTTTTACGTATTATCTTTTATTATTCATGACGCACAAGTTGCGTGACGTAGTTAGATATAAATTTATACCGCAGGATACTACGGTCTAAGGAATGCTAGGATTAAATTATAAACGACATAGTCGTGGAAAGTTTTGGGATTCTTCGCCATAACAGTAACAAAGGATGCCATCTCATAAAAATTTAAGCACGTTTAATTTTTATAAAATTTTTAAGTTGCTTTGAAAATTAATTGAATTACGAAAGATCAATCCTCGTTTCAACATAAGATAAAGGAAAATAATATTATTTAGTTTAATTTATTTATTGAAATAAATAATGAAATACATTAAAGTGACTTCTTTCATTTCAGATATACTTATTTACATATTGTTAAATATTATTAATTGAATAAATTGTTGTATTGTAATATTGCGATTAAATTATTATAAAATTATATCAAAGAATAATCACGATTAGAAAAATATTGGAGGAATTATGATTATTAGAATAAAAATTTGTAATTTTACAATTGTCACATTGTTTTTCCATATTCTTCTATTAGTTAAGTTTTATTTATAAATTCTCTGTTAAGTTTTATGCAATTTTTATTTACAACTATGAAGAAATATTAGAATAGAAAATAACTTATTTACACATTATTTATTTATATTCGGTTATCTGGTTTAAGGATGAAAAATTGTTTGTAAAAAGTTAATTAAATTCTATATTTAATTTTATGATGTAATGAAAATTAATACTTCATTGAACTCCACCATTGTGCTTTGCAAAGTTTATATATCTACGTGTTTTATATACTACATTTAGCCCTTAACATTATTATTATAATAAAAACTAAATTAAACTAAAATTGAAAAAGAAGATTTTATAAATATAATTATTCCTTTAACTTAAATATATATTTATCAATTTTGACGTATTTTTGATTTTTAATTTTAATACCAGAAAGAATCAAAATAATAATTTTGTTGCGTGCAAATTAAAATTTGATATGTGTTTTGCGCGTATTTAAGATTTTTATGATCAATGCGTTATAAAATGAAATCATCAACGTGGGTGATTGTTTTCCTGTAGTACAATTTAAAAGATAATCCCACGTGGAAATTTATCCTGTGATTTGATTTTTATAGGCTGAACATGTTCCTGCTGAAATAGTGAAAGGAGATATCTACGAGGATAAAAGGTTAAAATACGTGAGAAATCTAAGGAAAAGTCGAGTTGCAAAGATTTATTTTATTTCCAATGATTCGCAATAGGATAAAACACTTATTATAATTAATTGAATCATAAATTTCACTTAATTCAATACACATAATCTTTCGTATATATAATGATTTAATAATTTAAATAAATTATTTCGATGCTAATTCCATTATTCTGCAAAAAACTAATGCATTCATTAAATACAAACATTCAATAACGTCAAACAATATAAGAAAGGAAAAACATTCTTTTTCAAAATTTTTAATACTCATCCAAACGAAACCTAGCATATCGAATAGATTTAATTCTTTCTTTACCATTTCATCGTATCATTAAAAATACCAAGTATCAAATCTATTTACTCATTTCAACTTTTTCAAACCTTCTAATACTCATTTGAACGAATCAAAAAACCAAATACATCCTTACCAAATAAATTCATTAATCTCCTCTTTATCCCTCGATACTAATTCCAACAAAATTCCACAAATATCATCCATTACCTTAAAAAAGAACCCACTGCATCATTATCGAACAAATTCGATACCAATCCCTCCCTTACACAATTTTCCTCCAAACCTGTTAATACCGCGAGCAAAGATAGGAAAAAAAAAGAAAAAAGAAAGAAAGAAAGGAAAGAGATCGAGATATCTCCGCGATTACAGGCAAAGGTGACCGCACTATGGGCAGAAAGGGAGGTCGCCGGGGGGAGGCGGGCGAGGGAGGGTGGCATCTGGTGGTGGAAGTGGCATTAGGAAGGGGTAGGGCTGAACGCATCCCTGCCAGACCGGCCACCTGCCTACCAACCCTGTCTGCTCCACCACGCTTCCCAGTATTCGAGCGATCGCTACTACTCGCGCACGCAATTCCCCTGCTGGGATGTGCGTAGACCGCGCCACCGCGCCGACACGCATCGTACTACCGAATTACGTGCCAGCCAACGTAGTGGCAACGTGCTCGAGGTGACGTGTCCGTCGCGATACTCGCAAAGGAAAAAAAAAAAAAAAGAATCTTCACCTGCCGCCTGTGCACGAGCAACCGCTCCAACAATACGTTCGTCACGCCACCCAGCTATGGATCCGCCGGGAATCACCGCTCTGGTATCCCACGAGTGCCCCTGAACGACGCAACCCGCGCGTATCTCTCGACGGATTTGCTGCGGATCTCGAAGCTCGACCGCGTCTCGACGCCCCTCCACGGGATTTTAGAGCTTCGTGCGACACGTTGCGACACGTCTCTGTTGCCTCCTTGTTTCCCGGTGGTTTGGAAATTTTGGGAACGAAGATGGATGATGCCTCGTGCGCTTCGGGCCGCGTGATACTCGAAAGGTGATTAATGACACACGGTGTGAATTCGAGAGCCGCATCAATGTTTACCGGGTTTAATAGGTCAAACGAGGAGCACTCTTGCGCTCGAGGCTCGCAGGCAACGGGTTGCTCGTTTCGATTGCCCATCAACGTCCCTCCTCTTTCGTTTATCGCCACTGGGGACTTGTTAAGGACACTGTTAACGAGCGACGACGAGTTCGCAAGTTTCTCCCGGTCGATCGTCGCGCGATAAAGAATTTCAGTGGGAAAATTTGCAATTTGGCAGGAAAATGGGATTACGTGTTCTCGATAGAAGCGATCAATCAACCGATAAGAATGCATAGCGTCGAGTTCCCGCGATTCAGCTGACGAAGAAATATCCATTTCAACTTTTACACGTGTGTACACGAGAATCGAACGTGGTACTTAAAAAAAGTTTTGCACGCGTATTAATGAACTTGGTCGATGTATATATGTGGAAAGTGACTGGATGCTTCAACAATCGTTGACCCTAAAAAGAGAAATTAACACAGAAATGCGTCCACTTTGATCAAATTTATCTTTATCGAGCAAGTTAACGAGGTTCGAGGGATGAGAATAACACGAGTGAATTATCGAATCTTCATCGTGGATACTCGGTGATAATTTAGAGTAGGTAGCTTCCTCTCACTTCCTTCTTTCTCTCTTTCTCTCTCTCTCTCTCTCTCTCTTCTTTCTCTCTCAGTTTCGACAACATACTTGACACGAACACACGACCATTGGTGTTCCACAACGAACGCTGCCTAACATGGCTACGTGTTTCGACCAAGCTACGTTCAAGCTGGGACACAAAGGAACGAGGTCATTAGGTACGCGAGAAGGCAGGAAGGGTCGAGGGAAGTTGGCCACGCGGGAACGAGTTACCCCGCCACTTCTGTCGAGTCCTTTCTTTCATCGTTTCGTGAGAACGTCACCACGGTCAACACTTCGTAGTTCGATCTCGACTGATCTCCTCTCGAAGCCTCGATCGTCTTCGCTCAAATCTGGCAACGTCGAACGCTTGCTGGAACGATTGCAACGGTACTAATTCCGATCTCGTTTGAGCGGAGCAAAATATCGAATGATCGATCGAGCACTAATTCACTAATTCTGTCCAATCGGTTGGAAGCGACGGTTGAACGAGCGAATGAGTCTTGTTCGAGAGAAAGAAGAACTGAATGACGCAAGAGTGGAAAAGTGTCGAGTTACGATGGAGACAAATCGAATTCCACTTAAATATAGGTGTGTAACCAAGCACGAACCCACCGATTCGTCGTACGTTGCTTTTTTAATAACTGTCGTTAGATAATGTGCACGTGCAGTGGATCGTTGATCGGTTAAGGTGGAAAGTTCTTTGAGGCGGTCGCGGCGGAAAGCTCTTATTCAGGGGCCGTCGAGCACGTTCTTTATTCGTGCTTAAACGGGGATTAAGTTCGAGGCGTTACATCGAGGAGTTGGCCTCAAATTCGTGGTAATTCGAAATGCGGAATAACGGATAGAGAGATAATTCGAATTTTGAAAATTAATTCAAACGGAACACTTGATGTTACGAAAAAAAAAACACGAAAAAAAAAAAGAAGAATATCGTTCTCAATTAGATGTCTCGAAGGCAAATGATCAAAAATAAAGATAGAAGAATCTTTTCGTCCAAGAAGGAAGAAATTATCTTTACATATTTACTTGGAAAGGCTCGCTCGAAAACTCGTCGTTCATCTTAATATAAAATGTCATTAATGGTCTAATAACTTCTCCATTGAACCCCATCGATCGAGACCACAGAACGATCCTCTCCTTCGAGGAAAAATATATTCTCTACATAGATGGATAGATCCTTGGTTTTCCTTGTTCAATTCAACCGATCATCAACGAACGAGCAAAACTTGGGAAAAATCGTGGAGAAAAATTTGAGAAACTTTTCGAAGGGATGAAAGCGAACGTAATAAATACGTTTCCTCGGAACCCTGTCGGTCGCGAAGCAAAGTCGGTAAAGTAGAGAAATCTATCCTTCCTGATCAGAGATCTCGACGCTGTGCGCAAGATGAAAGAAGAGAGAAGATAATCGGCTTCATGTTGTCCCGATTCATTCGAGATCTTTCAGTGGATAGCGCCGTGGAAGAAAGAGGAAAGAAGAAGAAGAGGAAGGGGGAGGAGGATTCTGGTGTCTCGACGGTTTTGTCTTGACCGTTCGGCCAGCGGGCCTTGGAGAAGTCCCGCGACGGTTCCTACTACAAAGTGGTCACAATCGAGGCCGGTGAACGTAATGTGACGCAGACAGGTGAAGAGATGATGACGGTGACTCCGTCCACCTCCGATGTCGCTGACAAGGCAGTGTCCACGGACGATGGTGGCAGTGGTATGGAGGTGGCACGCCTCGAGGCCGTCCTCGCCGCCCTGGTGGAGACGAAGGTGGAGGCGATCAAAGCGTCCTCGGCTTTGGGCAAGCGTTCTGGTAGCGCGCCGGCCAGCCCTCGCCGGCTCAGACTCACCTCAACGTCGACCGCCTCCTCCTCCCTTAATCACCAACATCGAAGGAAGAGTCATCATCATCATCACCACCACCATCACCACCACCATCATCATCATCGTAGGAGGCACGACTCGGCGCCGTGCAACGACTTCATCGACGACGCCACCGATCATCGGCACAACGGGCATCATGGTGAGTTGCATTGCTGTTTTAAGTCTTAAGATTAATTGTATTCCTCTCCTTACGGGGGAATTTGAATTCTTCTTCGGTGTAGGAAAGGTGTGAAATTGATAAGGTACATTGCCAAGTAGTATTAACGACTGGAAAAAAAAAAAATGTTGACGATTGGAGAAATTTGAAAGAGAAATTACAAAGACTTATTATTAGCAATCAAGAAGAGTTAGGATAGGATCCATAAATTTTTCATCTTATATACGAATTTTCTCTTAAGTTGTTCTATCATATCTTCTAATTAGTCTACATAACTGAGATTTTTATTATAGTTAAAATGTCACATGTATTTAAAGACATAGAAAAATTGGAGTTTTATCATTTTCATTATGTTTTTTATTAGAGGAGATAAGTTAAATTTGATTCTTAAAAAAAAGTTGAAGGATGCAACTTAACAATTGTTTCTTTTCTAAAATTTTCACTTTATCGTGTTAATAATATAAGTTTAATCAAAGTTCAAAGATTTTTCTTTCAATAACAGAATCTCATTTGAAAGATTAATTTTTTGATATTAATATTAAAATTCAACTCTAAATATATATATATATTATACTCTATGATTTTCTTATATTCTTGAAATATGATTATATTAAAAACACATATTCTACATATCTTTGACAAATTAATGTTAAAGAGGATCAACCTTTGAGAAGGTTGCAATAATATCCAAGATGTGCTCTTTAAAAACGAAAGTTTCCACAACAGACTTTAATGGTCTGATGATAGTGTTTGGCTTATCCCTTTGAAACAACATAATACCTATAAGAGAGAAGTTGTTTGAAGTTGTTAATTTAATTTTTGAATTTTCTTCCCAGTTATCCTGAAATATATTCCTCGTGTAATCCTTGAAACGTTCAACACCAGCCAATAATCATAATTCTTGTCAATGTTGCACCGATTTTGCAACGTTTTGTGTTTACACTTACAAATGAAAAATGCAACGAACCATAATACAGGAAATAGAACAGAGAGCACGGAATATAATGAATACATGCAAGAAAATTTGCATTAATTAACCTCGCGATTATCGAATATTAAATCATTTAATTGGATTTAGCTCTCTCGGTGGACTGCATCGATGGGCGAATCAATATGTGACGCAGATAGAATTATTCGAAATTGAAGTGGATGACGCTTTTTTTGTTTTATTTCGATCTCGTATTAATTCAACGCCTTGTATCAAGAATGGACCTTTTGAAATTTATTGATTTTCATTTACTGTCAATTTAATGACACTTGAATCAGTATTGCAGAACATTGGAAAAAAACTTGATTTTTCGAGGAGACACTCAAAATTATCAAAGGACGATTCAAAGTAAAAAAGAATCAAAGTGGGAAGTCTGTTCAGTAGTATAAGTATAAGTAAGTAGTATAAGTAAATATTAGAATTGGCTGATGATCAGTACCAAGAATTATATTTATACTTTTCTAGTAGATACGTAAAAATCATCAAATTTGACAATAATAATTTGTTTAAATTTTATTTATATTCAAATATATTGTTAATATCATTCTACAAATTAAAATATTTTCACATAATAACCAATTATTTCGATCATTCAATGACCGATTATTCGCACACAAGTATTTGTATTTAAAGTTAAATAATTGAAAATATTTGTATTTTGAGAATATCTGAAAATCATTAATTTATTCTTTGTGATACATTTATGAGATATATACCATTTTATAATAAACGTGATGCATCAATTGTATTATGTATTTATCACAAATTTGATTTTTTCTATTTATTAAATATGCTTTTTTAAAAATTTATTAATTAATAATATTGGAAAATTAACAAGTTGATTCGATTATTAGAAATATATCTTTTATAATAGTAATAATTTGATAATTTTCTAGAAAAAGAAATCAAAGGATACTTTGTATAAATAATAAAATATCACTGAAATATCTAAGAAGATTTTATAAAAATAAATCTCTATATAACTTTTAAAACAATCTAATACAATATTTTTTATATTTTATTCCAATATATATAAAAAAAAAAGGAAGAAAATGGAATAAACAAAAACGAATTCGTAAAAATAGCGTCAATATGGATGCTGTCAAGATGGCGACAATCCCTCGACAGGGATTTCTTTATGAGATTTTGTGGGATGAAAACGAGCGCAAAATGAAAAATGGACAGAGGACTAATGACCCACGATCGACCCACGCACGGCCACAAACGAAAAAGGTTGTTAAGGGCGTCTGATGAAAATCATTTTCCAATAGAAATTCAAATATTCATGCTTTCCATTAGATCTTCATGAAATTATTATCGACCGATTACTAGTCTCTCTCGTGATGAGAACGTATCCAAAATGAATTCGTTTGGACCGAGTAGTAGTCCAAGATCACGAAAAAAAACTTTCATATTTCATTGTGTACATTTTTTTTTGCAAGAGTTCAAACAGCTCGTGTTACGTTATTATTGTCATTGGAAATTGTTCATTTAATGAAACTTCGCGAGCGATAGAATTAAATATTCATTTTGTCAAGTGTAGATATATGGATCATTAATCAATGTTCTATTCATGTTGCAGATTAAGCGCACGATTAAGCACGCCATTGTTTACTCGTATAGCGTGATGAAACATAGTAATTATTAATTTATTTTATGATATTATACACTTGTGTCCATTTGAGTTGGAATCGAAATTTTCAATGCAGATTTCTTTAAAGAAAAAATTTTTTTCCTAATGTACAAATAATAAATAAAATTATTTTCAAATTCTAAGAGTGAAAATTGATCGAATTGATCAAAAATCAAATTGATCTTTTATTTTCACAATTTCTAAAATTATACACTTTTGACAAAATTAATAATAGAATTTATATATAATAATTTTCATTAAAAACTAGATTTCAATCTTAATAATTATAAGGTTAATAATTGTTAAATTGCATTCTATATATTCAAAATAGATCAAATATGTCATAATACTTACAACTTTTTTTACAGTACTTTATAAAATTCATTACACCTCATTAGATGAGAAGTTACAGCATAAAATTTAGTAATCAATTATTCTGAAACTATACATCGTATAATATCTTTTGAACAACAGCCATACCATTTTTATGGAAAATAACATACGTATACACACACACACACACATATTATAGATAATAAAAACATGGTTATTTGAAATTTGAACATCTCGAATATCATCAAATTTCAAAGTTTCTAAATACACATTATATTCATTTTTAATGCCTGTGTGTCTAAGTTTAACTTATTGTAAAAATAAATTTTACTCTATGTAAAGTGCGCCGATGTAATTTATATTTTGACGTTAGGGTTAGCTTACGTCAATGAATAGTTTGCGCAAGACGTAAATCGATAAATACAATGATAACATTCTTTCTCATTCAAAATTTACCCTAAAATTTAACAAATTTACACGATTTCTTCACTCTGTGAATATCTTATCCAACATTATCTTTTCATATACAATTGTCTCATTCATGTAAATTTTGTTTAAAAATAAAAAAATATGTACGTTATTGATAAAAGACATGGAGAATGGGTTTAACATTATTACACGATTAGTGAAAATAATTATTAAACGTCACTTTGACTTGTGATTGCTACATTTATCAATTTTTATAAATTATTACAATTGTTTATTGAAATGTCACATGTTATTCGAATAAATAATCCTGTTTTTCCATTAAAAAGAGGTAAAAAAAATCTTCGAAACGAGATAATTGATTGTTCCATTAATAGAAATTCCAATAATCGAGAGATTCTACTGAATATTGTGCGTTGCTTAATAATGTGTATGAATAAAAAAAATTAATATGCTTGAATATCTTCACAAGTGAGATCTTCATAAATTGAAAAGTTCAAAGATTTCTCTATGACTTTCTCAATCAATATTTACTTCGATAAAACCGGATTCATTTTCGTGACTCACATTCGATGACTTTCAATGTCACAACACGTGTCCATATGATAAATGGGAATAAATGTTGGATTGTTGCAGGTAAAACACGGCGGGGAGCGTCAGAAAGTCCACGACGTCCAAAAAAAAAGCGCAAACACTCGAAAAGCCCGCACATCCTTCACGGTGTGATCCAAGACGTCCCAGCCGGTCTTGATTCACGTTTAGAGCTTTTTGGAATGGATGGTGATCAAGATCTCGCATTGATAAACTTTGAAAGGACTCGAGAAACTCTCAGCGATTCCTGTGAATATCCACAGTTGCACCGAAGTGCCTCCTATTTTCCCCAAAGTACTGCTCAATTGTAAGTCTAGCCGTAGTATTATTCATTGCGTTGTTTACGATTAAGTACGTGTTAGATCGTTTATATTAGGCCAATCAAGAATGTTCTATTCGTATTATCTTTCGAATTAATAAAATTAAGAATTTGGAACAAAAATCATAAATTCTAAATCAATTAATTCTAACAGAGTGAGAAAGTGATTTATTCGATATTTTCTTTTTTTAATACGTTTGACGTTCATTTTCTACCATTTAATTTTAAATTTACTTATTTTTGTCATCGATTATGCATGGAAAAATATCTAATTTTCTTAATTATTGTATTTATTTGTATTGTAATTATCTTTATTCCTTGATAACTTTGTATCTCTGAAACAAATTAATTTGATTATTGACGTAAATATTCAATTGTATCATGATACTTATTAATCAATATTGACGTATTTATTAAATGTTTCATCAGATTGAAAATGTTAATACGTCATAATATTCGATAGTCATTTAATCATTCTTTTTTCAAACGCAAAATCGAAATTGATAATAATTAATAAAATAAATTCATCGGAAATGTCACGTTAAAATTTTACAATATGTAGAAAAAGAATTATTGTTATTATATTAATGATCATTTAAGATTAAAATTAATTAAAACTATAATAAAACGTGTATTTTTAATATTCGAAATAGTTAAACGATTTCGAATTGAAAAGTTTGATTATGGAATTATCATTAAATTGCAATTTCAGCATTTCAACGTCGTAATTTAGAGAGAAAACAAAGGCATATAATAGGCAGTGGTAAAATTTGTATTTTAAACAATTAAAACTATTTCGAAGTATTTAGCGAAATAATTTTCCTAATTTTCACTCGAGAATTCGCAATTTTAGTGTCACAAAATTTCATGATAAGGATGATAAAGGATAATAAGATACTGAAACTATACAAATATCTAGCAAAATAATTCGTTGAACTTTTGAATTGAAAATAAAAATTTCTAAAAATTAAAAAGAAATTCAAAAATTTATACCTAATATTAAAAATTTCACCAATTATAACTTTTCCTTCAACAATTACAAAATTTCACGAACATAACAAAGAGTAATAAAAATCGTAATCTAAAACGTTTCAAATACAAATAATCAAACATTAAAAAGCCTAGAAATATCGCTTCAACTTTCACGCTGCACCTTGTTTATTTCCGTCTGGTACAAATACCCCTTTGCAACATTGCAATTTCAAAGGATCAGACGAGGAGACATTCGTATTTGCGAAGAAAAGAGAGAGAGAGAGAGAGAGAAGAGGAGAGGGGAACTCGATTTAAGTGCAATATACTGCAAAACTGGGTCATCGTCGGTGCGTAGTTGCACATCGTTGGTCTCTTCGTTAGATGTTCCATCCAATACCATTCCATAGGAGGATCGCCAGGCGAACAAAGCGTATTCGACCGTGTAATGAAACTCAGATTGTTAGGTGGAAAAGATCAAGAGGAGAGACGTTATTTTGCCAGGAGACATTTACTTTTTCATCAATCCTCTTCGACGATCGAGTTTTTTCTTCTTTTTCTCTCTCTCTCTCTTTTTCATTTTAACGTTTCTAAGGAGTGCACGACTTTTTTAAACGTTGTACTTCATTTAATTTTTACATCAAGGAGAGGATATACTTTATTGGAAATGG